TAAACAGAATAGAATTCTGGGCGGAAGAGGAAGTGAGGTCAGACTCTGCTCTGCTCCCTGAGAGACTCTACAGCTCTGCTCTCTGGAGCAGAGACACCATGCTCTGCTCTCCCAGGCAGCTCCAACCCACGATGGACTTAGGCTAGAATCTTCCCAGTAAGCATACCTTGGGGTGCTTACACACATCATTAGAAATGGGCTAGTCCAGGTGCGAGAATTAGCCTGTAAGGGCTAGAGTTCATGGGCCAAGCAGTTCTTAAATGAATACAGTTTGTGTGTTGTTATTTTGGGCATGAGCTAGCCAAGTGGCCGGGGTGTTGGGGACGCAGCCCCGCCGCTTCTTATTTCAACAACAAAGTAATTTTTTTCAAATTCTACTATTCTAAATCACTACAATCATTCTAATAGCATGCAACGTATCAAAACCCAGTAAAGGTTATACATTCAGCTTTGCTAGCAGTTGGAAAGCTGGGGCAGAAGACTGCCATAAATTTGAGGCCAGCCTGGGACACAGGCAAGCCCTTGCCCCCCCCAATAAATAAATAAATAAATAAATAACAGGAGGGAGGGAGGGGAGGAATCCTCTCAAGATTTTACACAACAGCACTGTTTTCTTCCTACAAGATACACAAAAATGTTACCTACTCAGAGAACACATTTAAAAAGTAAGATGTATAGAAAAAAGACTAACCTGGCATTCATTTTCTTAGGCAATAATTTAATCTTTTACACTAGTACTACCTCCCTTCAAGTTTTGACAATTGGCCCCTTAGTCACACCCTTTACATTTTTAATACCACAAATAAGTTATATATAATATATCATTACTACAATTATCCTATTGGCCCAATACTGTTTTGGTGTTCCTAGAATCACAGTTAATACATTTGTGCATTGTTGGATACTACCTGTAAAGGACAGTACCTATTTCAAAATACCCCTATATTTAAGAGTATTAACAGTCATTCCATTTAAAGAACTGTAAGTGTGTGTGTGGGGGGGGGGAGTTATACTTTGCATTACAAAATGTGTTCAATGCCATGTAAGAGAAAAATTAGCACAAAAATCCAGTAGCAAGAGACTGGTCCCAACATATGCCCAACCCACTCAAGAATACCAAAACCTGCAGATGTTTAAGTCTCTTATATAAAGTGGTGCAGTATTTACATATAAACTATAGATCCCTGTAGTGGTTATTTCATTTGTATTCTAATAAAGCTTTCCTGAAGTTCCCAGAGTAAAACAGCCACACTGATCAATCTTACAGACCAGGCAATGGTGACATACCTTTAATCGCAGTAGCCACACTAGTTTGCCATAGAAACCAAGCGTTGGTGGCGCTCACCTATAATTGCACTTGGGAGGCAGAGGCAGGTGAATCTCTCTGAGTTCCAGGCCAGCCTGGTCTACAAGAGCTAGTTCCAGGACAGGAACCTGTCTCGAAAAAACAAAAAGACAAAGCATTTTACTATATTGGTTTAGGGAATAATGGTATGAAGTCTGTACAAGCTACAGCGAAACCCTGTCTCGAAAAACCAAAAAAAAAAAAAAAAAAAAAAAAAGAAGTCTGTACATGTGCAGTACATGTGCAATGTCACCCAGCCAATATTTAGATCCCAGTTGAATTCTTGGATACAGAAAATGCAAGTTCTTGGAGCTGGAGAGATGGCTAGGGGGTTAAGAGGGCTGTTTTTCCAGAGGTCCTGAGTTCAGTTCCCAGCAACCAACCACATGGTGACTCACATCCATCTATAATGAGATCTGGTACCCTCTTTTGGCACGCGTGCAAGAAGAAAATTGTATACATGATAAATAAATCTTCTAAAAAAGTGAATTTTTTTCAAAAAACATTACTTTCTGAATATACTACGTATATTAATGTTATAATTTCTGTAAAATGTTAAATTAGATCTTAACCATTGTGCCATCTCTCCAGCCCTACTGATTTATCTTTCAACTATTTTCATTAAGCATATCAAAATAAGGTTCCACTGGATAACAGTTGCTTTGCCATAAATATATAATAACTAAGTATAAATTTATAAGGATTCAAAAAATTTGACAAGAGGTCATCTAAATCCTTAATTCCAAACTGACTGTATCCCAGGCATGACTTCCATTTACTTTAAAGTGAGCAGACTAACTCAGTTTGCTGTCAATAACCCACAGCCTGACAGAGCAGACATAAAACACAAATAAACAAAATTATTTGGATTGTAGAATAACTTGAGCATACCCAATTAATTTTTTAAAAAACTCCTAAAGGTTTTTGAGCACCAACATAATAACCAAAGTTTTGGACTTTGGGGCTTGAGAGATGGCTTAAGGGTTATGAGCACTGGCTACGAACCTGGCTTTAGTTACTAGCACACATATGGTGGTCCACAATCACCTGTAACTCCAGTTCCAGAGGATCTGATGCCCTCCTCTAACCTTCGCAAGCACCAGGAATGCATATGGTACTTACACATACATGCAGGCAAAAACACTCATGGACAGAAAAGAATAAATCTTGGGGGGAGGAGAAATTCTGCTTTCTGCTTAACTCCAAAGTCAGTACAAGTAACACATAGATTTAGAATTCAAATTTTTCTTCCACTGAGCAAACTAATCTCTATTTGGCCATATCCAAAAACTTAAGATCTAAGCTGACCATGTGTTTCTTTTCATCTTAAAATTTCATCTCCATTCTTAAAAATCACCTAATATAGAAAGTAAACTTTAGTCTCTCTCATCCCACCTCAAATTAAAGTTTTTAATACTCAATGTCTCATACTATCTGCAATATTGTACTTTACCAAAATGCAAAACAAGTCTTATAAAACTGCCTATTTTAAATAGTAAATGGAAAATGAAGACTAGTTACCACACAGAATTTCAGAGAATAAAAGTACAATTAAAACTGCAGCTCACAATAGAGAACAAAAAAATGTGTTTCAAGGCTAGAGAGGTGGCCCTCTGGCTAGAGCACAGGCTGCTCTTCCAGAGGACCCAGGTTTAATTCCCAGCACCCACATGGCTGCTCACAACTCTCCGTAAATCCAGTTCCAGAGAATCTGACCCTCTTTTGGCCTCCTTGGGTACCAGGTACCCACACAGTTCACAGACATATAATGCAGGCAAAACATCCACACACATTTTAAAAAAGGAAGGAAAGAAGGAAGGAAGAGAGGGAGAGGGAGGGAAAAAAAGGTTTAAAAAAGAAAAACCTAACATTTATAGATATAAAGACACCAAAATAGTTAAAAATTGCTAATGATTAGCTCTGAAAAATATTTGCTGATTACAATCAAATAATCATATTAGTTACTATAGCAGCTGGTAGAAATAATAAGGTTACCTACCACCTAGTAAGAGAACAGATTCATAGCAACATAGCACAAGAGTAACGTGTTTGCCTAGCATGAGGGAAGGGGAAAAGGAACAACTGAGTCTGATGGGTTGTGATCACAGCACTGAGGAGGCTGAGGCAGCAGGTGCAGCACAAATTAAACAGTCAGTCTGGGATAAACAGTAAGTTCTGGGACAACCTGAGCTACAGGACAGAAAAAAACAAGCAAAAGAGATTAAGTCAATAAATAATTTTGTTGCTTCTAATTCTGGAAGGAGCTCATAAAACACTTCAATGATAGTACCATTTATAGAAAACATGACAAGTCTCAGAGTAATTGGCAATATTTTTGTGACTACTTTTTTTGCTCAGGAATTCAGAGCAAGCAAATCACATAAGCCAATTATATGCAAACAGCAACAAGTAATGCCCCTGGAGGATACACACATAGCTCAGTGGTAGAGCACTTACCTAGATGTGCAAGGTCCTGGGTTCAGTCCCCAGAGCTGCAAACCAGAGGTTTTGGGAAAAGCCTCTACTTAATCTCCCAATTAATCTATTTAAACCTACAAAGACTTTACTTGTATAATTACATAACGGTGTATCAATACAATGCTCAAGTACAAGTCAATGAAAAGCTACGTTTATAAAAAAGCAGGCCTACAAAGTAGTTCCTCCATGGAGTCCCAAAAGTCTAATCTCTTCCTGACCTCTTGCTAGTACTAGTTAATGCAGAGGTAAAGAAGCCATCAAGCAGTTATCTGCATAAGTATACTGTCTCTCCCAAATAGTTTTTTTTTTTTTTGTAGACCAGGCTGGCCACGAACTCACAGATCGCCTGTGCTCTACCCACTGAACCACCTCTCCAGGCCCTAAACACATCCATTATAAGCTGCAGATTTAATTGTACTTTGTATTCTCTGAAATTCTGTATAGATATCTCGTTTTCCACTGACTATTTAGTATAGGCATAGTTTTATAAAGGTTGTTTTGCATCTTGGTAAAGCACAATTTTGGGTGCTGGGATTTAAGGTTATGCCTCTACGATTAGTGAAGAAAGCTTAATCTCTAAAACTGTATCCCAATTCGTCCATACTGTGAGCACAAAAACAAAGCAATATGTTCTCTTACTGAAAAAGCTAATGAAGACTGTCTGAAACTGTTTTTTTTTCCCTTTAGCCGCAGTTATGACAGTGTTTCAGATATGCTACGCGTCTTGGTAGATCAAAGGGAAAAGATTCCGAGGTCTTAGTCTACTGACCTTAATTAAAAGCATTGGAATCTGTGTAGCATCCAAAGAAAATTTCTAAGTCATGATTGACACGACTCAGAAACGAGAAAAAAAGATTTTCACACTTAACGTTTTATTGCAACGGTTAATTACATTTAAAATTATCTAGTTTCTAAGTCAGTAGTTGGAGGTTAAATCTTATCAAAATTTGCTTTTCTAATAATAAAACAAAAGGTACAATATCATTTTTTGAAAAACAAAGCATAAGGGTTTAAGAGTTTCCATTTATTTGTTTTAAATCTTGCATACCTAGTCATAAATACCATTAGTAGAAGGTAACACCATACTAATCAATGGCATCTTATTAAGCTTCTCATCCGAATCTGGGAATTTTTAATATAGAATTATTTTTTTAAAAAACGGGAAAAAATTTAAAAACACACAGCTTTTAGTAGCACTATGATTGGGTGCAACCTAGAAAAAAAAAACACTAATAAATGAAATTCAATTTAAAAAAATAGGAAGGGGGAGTAAGAGGCTACACGTTACTGACTCTGGTAGCCAGAGCTCTCTCCAAGGTTGTTCATCACCAGACATCACAGCTAGTTCAAAGCTACCGTAGCCGGTGAGACCGGAAAACCTTGCAAGTCTCACTTTCTCCAGCCTTTCAAAAGAGCCCCAAGGGGCAAACACTTCACTTTAAAAATACAGTCACATTCACAACGGCTTGTAAGCAACCACATACTGTGAGAATTTCGGGTGGACGTTCTCCACTTCGGCCTCTCGGATGTTAGCGAGGGACGACCATCTTTTTTGTTCTATCCAACCACCGCGCATCCAAGTCTTTTGGCGCAAGCCATTAATCTTCCCAGATTATTCTTCTTCACTAAGGCCAAGGACTGGGCCTCAAAGGCACCGCAAACCCTCGATGGCCAAGGCAAGCCAACGCATCGACTTTTAAAATGAGCTCAGTGCAAAAGTCAGATGACTTGTTGCAGACCTAAGCCGCCTAGCCCTCCCCGCCGGGGAGCGGGGAGCGGGGAGCGGGAGCAGGACCCCGGGCAGCACGCCGAAACCTGTCGCCTACGCGAGCAAGGGAGCCCAGAAGACCCGGCGCGCGGGATACAAAAGGCTGTGAACGCGCGGCCTTCCATGAGGGCGACCGTGCGCGGACAAGACACAAAATGGAGCGAAGGGAGGAATCGGAACCCGAGAGGCAGGGCTGGGATGGAGGCGGCGGCGGACGGGCGCGCGCCCCGCCAGCAGGGCTTCGCACCCCCCCCGTCAGGCGGGCGGCGGGGGAGGGGGCGCGGCGGCCCTGTTCTCCCCGCCCCGCACACGCGGCCTAGCTCGGCGGGAAGCGCCCGCCACCGTAGCCAACAATGGGGCGTGAGGCCGCCGTGAGGAAGGGACGGGCGAGCGGGCGGGCGAGCGGGCGGCGGCGGCTGCACAGCGACCCGGCCCCGCGCTCCACGGCCCGCAGAAACGACGCGCGAGAACAAGGGGTGAGGGGGACGCCGCACACACAGCGGCGCGGCCCAGAGGCTCCAGGCTCACGGTCTGCAGCCGAGCCCGGCTCGCGGCCCGCGGCGACCCCGGTGAGCGTCCAGGCCGCCGCACCGTCCGCTTCGGCTGCGGAGCCCAGACCCAGACCCTCACCTACCTGATTGAACTCTTCGCCCACATCCGCGTAAATGTCTATGTGGTCCACACCGTCCGCCATCTTCCCTCGGCCTTGGCCGCCGCCGCCGCTGCCTCCTGCAGGTCGGCCCGCCTAGGCAGCAGCAGCGGATCTGGCGGAGGGGGCGGGGCGCGATACGTCACTTCCGAGGGGCGGAGACGAGGCCGCAGCGGCCCAGTGGGGGCTGAATGGAGACCCGGCGGAGGGGGACACTGCGGCTCCGAGGGCGCTAACTAGATCTTTTGTGTGCAGGGTTAAGCGGCAGGATGGCGGGGAGACACAGGAAATTACCATCCCGCATGCCCGGGGAACCCGCTGGTTTCCGGAGACGATCTTTTCAAACTGTTTCCTACACTTTCTTTTTTAAAATATTTTACGTTTTCAGTTTTCCTTACCTTTTTTTTTTCTTTTTGCTTCCAGACGTGGGAGTTATGTGTGCACAATTAAAAGCAAATGTGATGTCCAGGGCAATGTCTTATTTCTGCTTCTTCAGACAATCGAATTTTGTGGTGGCCTTGAGTTATTTGTATATTTCGTGCTTGCATCTCTCCTCTTTATGTAGTTGTAAGCATCTTAGCTTCTTCCCTCGTCCTCCTTCCTCTCCCAGTGCTCTTGCTTTCTTTCCTCTTTATGACTGCAGGACGTTTTCTCCAGCAATTCTTCCAAGGCTTCTAACTTCATTTTAGGGGTCATACAACCAAGTAAATGAATCTTAAATCTAGGAATTCCTGGATTTAGAATGCTGAACTAGAAGGGAGATTAAAAAGGTGTCCTTGGGTCCAAACATCCCATTTTACAGATAGAGAACTAAGGCCTAATAGAACATAAGCGATTTAACTAGGGTTACACGTCTCAGAAAGGTTCACGCCTTTTGACACCAGTATGTGATTCAGATCCATTTCTAACGGACCAACCCATTTCTTTTCTTCCCCTTGAAAAACTCACCAGGCCTAGGGATGTGGTGATGTCTGTCCCTCAACAGGTAAAGGTCCTGGCTGTGAAGCCAGATAAATTCAGTCCCTACTCTCTGACTGAGAAAAGAGAAAACCAACTCCAGTTAAGTAGTCCTCCATGTAACACCTCTGGCTACCACCACCTCCACCCCAGCCCTTCCGACAAATAAATAAATATTACTAGTTTATTAAAAAGGGAAGGCACCAGATACAGATTGGTCTGAAATCATCAATAAACCAAGTAACATCTGTTCTTGTTATGGCTGTTAAAGCTTGGTTGCTGCGGGGCAGTGGTGGCACGTGCCTTTAATACCTGCATTTAGGAGGCAGAGGCAGGTGGATCTCGTGAGTTTGAAGCCAGCCTGCTCTACAAAGTGAGTTCCAGGACACCCAGGGCCACACATATAAACGTTGTCTCAAAAAAAAAAAAAAAAAAAAAGACAGGATTTTTCAAATGTAACTTTGAAAACTTCAGAGTACTTTCTTGACAATTTTCAAAATTTGGAAGACTAGTGTAAACTAGAAAGGAAAAAATAACTAGCTCTTATTTATAGGTTTACTCATTTGCTTATTTGGGGTGTGCACATTTTTGTGGACAGAACCATTCCATGGCTCATATATAAAAGACAGCTTTGGAACAGTGGTGACTTAGGCACCTTTAATCCCAGCACTCGGGAGGCAGAGGTAGGCGGAGCTCTGTGAATTCAAGGCCAGCCTGGTCTACAAGACCTAGTTCCAGGACAGGAACCAAAGCTACAAAGAAACCCTGTCTCAATAAATAAATAAATAAATAAATAAATAAATAAATAAATAAATAAATAAATAAAAAAGTAAGGCACTTGACAGCCGCAGCCCTCATCAGATTGCCCTTTGAGTCTGAGGTACTTAGTACACGGTGCACCCAGTGTCAGCAAAGCTCTCTCTGTCTTCTGAACTGTAAGTGAATGGCTTCATATAATGTAACCTTCGGCCATTTGCTCTTGGCATTCAGCTGTATGTTGGTGTGTATATGAACAGGTCAGTCCTTCTTTCTCGGCTTTCTGAATGAATGTTGGTCCATTCTCCTCTTGATGGACAAGTTGCTTCCATTTTACCTACGCAGGCATACTATACCAGAGGGACAGTCTTGCCACATCCTCTAGGGTGCGTGTGTGAACCCTTCTCTAGGCGTTCTCTGTAGGAGTGGGTTGCNGGCAGTGGTGGTGCACGCCTTTAATCCCAGCACTCAGGAGGCAGAGGCAGGCAGATCTCTGTGAGTTCGAGACCAGCCTGGTCTACAGAGCTAGTTCCAGGACAGGCTCCAAAGCCACAGAGAAACCCTGTCTCGAAAAAAAAAAAAAAAAACACACACACACACACACAAAAAACAAAAAACAAAAATAAATAAATAAATAAATAGTATGCCACCATGCCCAACTCTCATCATAATTTCTTGATGGAAGTTCTAATATCTTTTTGTCTGAAGTCTACAAGAACAGAAAGTCCAAATGTCTTTAGGAGAAATTCAACCATAGCAAGTTGCATGTTGCACACAAAATTGCCTTTTATCTCCCTGTGCTAGTTTCTTCTTGCTATTGTAGCAACTTAGTAACAATGTCAGGTGCCTGAAACAACACAGATTTATTATCCTACAGTTCTAGAGGTCAGAAGTCCAATATAGATTTTACAAGGCTCTTCCAATTACCTTTTCTGTTGCTGTAATAAAACATTCTGACCAAAAGCCACTCAGGGAACCAAGGGTATTAGTATTCTCTAGAGTAACATAACTTATAGAAATATATATTTTTTTATTGATATTTATTGAGCTCTATATTTTTCTCTGCTCCCCTCCCTGCTTCTCCCCGCCCCACTTCAATCCTCCCAAAAGGTCCCCATGCTCCCAATTTACTCAGGAGATCTTGTCTTTTTCTACTTTCTACTTCCCATGTAGATTAGATCTACTAAAGTCTCTCTTAGTGTCCTCATTGTTGTCTAAATTCTCTGGGATTGTGGTTTGTAGGCTGGCTTTCTTTGCTTTATGTTTAAAAACCACCTATAAAAAAATAATAAAATAAAATAAAAATAAAAATAAAAACCACCTATGAATGAGTACATGTGACAATTGTCTTTCTGTGTTTGGGTTACCTCACTCAAAATAATGTTTTCTAGCTCCATCCATTTTCCTGCAAAATTCAAGCTGTTTTTTTTTTCTGCTGTGTACTACTCCATTGTGTAAATGTACCACATTTTTCTTATCCATTCTTCAATTGAGGGGCATTTAGGTTGTTTCCAGGTTCTGGCTATGACAAACAAAGCTACTATGAACATAATTGAGCACATGTCCTTGTGGCATGATTGAGCTTCCTTTGGATATATACCCAAAAGTGGTATTACTTGGTCTTGAGGAAAGTTGTTTCCTAATTTTCTGAGAAATCGCCACACTAACATCCAAAGGGGTTGTACCAGCTTGCATTCCCACCAGCAATACAGAAGTGTTCCCTTTTCCCCACAACCTCTCCAGCATAAGTTGTTATCAGTGTTTTTGATCTTGGCCATTCTTACAGGTGTAAGATAGAATCTCAGAGTTGTTTTTATTTGCATTTCTCTGATGGCTAAGGATGCTGAACATTTCCTTAAATGTCTTTCAACCATTTTAGATTCCTCTGTTGAGAGTTTTCTGTTTAGGTCTGTACTTCATTTTTTTAAATTGAATTATGTGATCTTTTGGTGTCCAATTTCTTGATTCTTTGTATATTTTGGAGATCAGACCTCTGTCTGATGTGGGGCTGGAGAAGATCTTTTCCCATTCTGTAGGCTGTCTCTTGCTCTTGTTGACTGTGTCCTTTGCATTACAGAAGCTTTTCAGTTTCAGGAGGTCTCATTTATTAATTGTTTCTCTCAGTGTCTGTGCTGCTGGGGTTATATTTAGAAAGTGGTCTCCAGGGCTGGATAGATGGCTCAGTGGTTAAGAGCACTGCCTGCTCTTCCAAAGGTCCTGAGTTCAATTCCCAGCAACCACATGGTGGCTCACA